GATGCTCTGGCTTTTCTGAGAGTCCCAGGAGGAAGAAATCAGAGACTGCTGTTCAGTTTTCTGGTTCCATGGACAGCCTGTGTCTACTATGAAATTAAAAAGGGGAGAAGGGAGTGACATAAAGCTGGGAGTCGGAGCCGGAGCTCCAGTCCCAGCTCCCCACAGGCCTGTAGGTTCTGCGGGAATTCATAGAATCCTTACAGTAAATCTTAGTGTTAGGCTCCTTTTAGTGGATTTCTGCTTCCCCAAACTGAGACAGTGTCAAAGATCTAACTTAATTGTTTAGAGACACCTTGGGTATTGTCCATAAATACCCTTATTTCTCTCAAAACTTTACAGAAAACAAAATTGAGAGAAATCAAACCAAAACTGAAACCTGACACAGTTTTAAAAGGGAAACTGATCATCCTTTTTTCTTCTTTCTCTTCCTTTCCCCTTTGTCTCTTTTCTTTCCTCCCTCTCTTTCATCCTTCCATCTACAAGGTGTAATTTTAGCATCAATTTGGGGTTAATGGCTAGGGATATAAGGACAAATGACACTCTTCCACTGCTTCCTAGGAACTTCAAGTTCGTTAGGGACACTTTATGATCTGCTACCACATGATCACCACGGTAGACCCACCTCTCCTTTGTTGTGATGAGGATGAGTGTTGAAAATTCCTGCAAAAAGATGGGAACATAAATGTGCACAAACATCCCTTTCACATTTTAACTTAAGTCAAGTATGTGAATTTGTTAACTGGGCCCTTGAATGAGTGCCAAATTCTTTTCTCTGCGCGTGAATGCATTGGTGGTGGCTCTGTAGCAACCGTCTGGCCTCAGCCATACATATAGGCTGAAATCTCTGCTCCAGTGTGCTTCATTAATGTGGAACAAAAAATTAGGGATCCTTGCAAAACGATCTAGGTGCAAAATAAGCATGCATACTACCACTGAGCTATACCCTATCCCCTTGACAGCACTTTTTTTTAAAAAAAAACAGTGATTCCTTTTTGTTATTAAGTCTTTACAAACTATTCAGCTTGAATTTCATAAAACCACATTT